TATAAGAAAAACATCAATAGCTATAATATTAAGGAACTATTTGGCACTACAAAATCTGTACTTCAAGTTTTCTATAGTTTAAAAGGAAAAATACACATATAAATGATGAGCAATGAAATTTTTATAATGCCAATAATAATGCCCTAAGTTTAAACGGCACATGTGTCAAGATTTTAGATGCATGGGTTTTATAAGGTATCGTTTGGTATGCAGACGGGACGGGAAGGAAGAGGGAGGGAGCAAAGATGCCCTCGGATGGAAACAAAGAGGAAGAAGAAGGAGACAGATAGGTTATAATTTTGTGTTCCACGGATGTGGAACAAGTCGTCCAGGGAGGTGAGGTGGAACGAAAATTTACCCAAAACTCGTCTCGTGAAACAGCGTGTTCCACCCGTTTTAGACGCACCAAACGTGGGACGTAATATCTCGTCTCACTCCATTCCGTCTCGTCCAACGTACTAAACAGTACCTAAAATACACATGGGAGTTTCATCATGACAAAGTTTGGTGTAACTAAATATAATTTTATTAATCTCGATGTACGACTAGTGGTTTATCATGAATCGATGAAAACCCAATATCATTTCGCTAGGCCAATCATTTGCTTTGCTTACCAACAACGTAGTTCCGCCACGTGTTCATATACAAGTGGCGGGGTCTATCCTTTCAGTAAAATGCATTCAAAATGCCGAAACTGCCCCTATGCAAACCGAACAAGTGAAGGCAAATTATGGGGTTTTCCTAGCCCAAAAATGGAATAATATAGCCAGGCAGGCATGCAAGCTAGCAAGTCGCATATTTTGGGTGACAAAACTACGATTTTTCTTGAAATATTCAGACTTTATCTGGATAAATAGTAAAATCAACTTTTACTCGAAACCGAAAATTTTGCCAAATATGGAAATATACAACTTTGTCAAATACCAAAAAAAATTGTTTTGAATTTTGACTTGGGAAATATATAAAGAGAAATAACGAAAAGTTCAAAAAAAATTTAGTTTTAATGAAAAATGACAAATAAATGTGTAGTGAATAGTATCATAGGAAGGTAAAAATATGATTTTTCGTTAAAAGTGAACAGTACCGGAAATGTTTCGTTAAAACTCCCAAATATATAAGCAGATATGTTATTAGTTTGAATTTCTTTGAGGCATCATATTGTTAATTATTCAATCTGAATGTCTTTTGATCAAAGACAGTAACACTGAAACGCTAGATTTATATTGAAGTTTACCCTAATGACCGTTCATCTCGTAAATATAGCGATAAGTATATACGCCTATATCTTCATTAATCACCAAGTTAGAATTGTTTCATTCACTAATTTTTTTCATAACCAAGTTTGAATTGTTTCATTCACTAATTTTGTTCATTGACTAATCACATAACAGTTTTTTATCTATTTAAATCTCGGTTAATATAATCAAAACTTCATTATTTATAATGTACATACAAGATACTAATGTACAATGCACATGTCATTTAGGATCAAATTTTAGGGTTCGGCATTATGATCAGCACGTCCAAAGTGTAGATTAGGGTTTGGCATTATTATTTTTTCCTCTTTAGGGTATTCTAAATAGTTTCCCGAGAAATATGAAGCCCCATGCATGCATGAATGAATTCAAAGATTTTGCAGCCATCATCAAGCTGCCATGCATGGAGCATGTCCAAGCAACATGTGCTATAAAGAAAAGCTATGGAGGAAAGAGATCTCCTGATAAGTATCCTAAGGAAACTCCATCCTTTAGGTTTAGGGCGATAATTGTTCGGGCTACTGGACAATTGGTAATTATTATCTTAGTCAACAGTATTTGGCCGAGTGCATCTTCACCCTGTAAATAAATTGCTCAAACATTTGTCATTAAAAAAATAATATTACCCTTAATTTCGAATAGGACTTGTAACCAATCACGTCATGCCACATGTTATTACCCGAAATTACATTTGCAGTGACATCATCCTAACGTCAGACTGCCTCAGACGATGGGTTGGGCGATTGTGGCCCGATCTAGCAATCGGGCCTTCTTTTTTTCTCTGTAGCCCTACTGATTGCGCATGGACTGGAGCTTATTTTGTTGGTTTTGGTGAATTGCATCATCCAATTTTTTCTGGCAATTGGGAGGGGTAGAGTTGCTCTAAAAGGAAAGGACTGAGGCGCTAAAAACTCATGTGGATAAGAATATATCATCATGTGTCTATATAAAAACTCATAATTCATCATAATATTGTACGTATATATGCCCATCCCTTGTTTGAATGGGGTACAATCACTTTTCGTCGAGTGGTCAGTTTCCTTCAAATTAATGGCCTTCTCAACAGTTTCAAAGGGCAATAATAATCGAACAAACCAAAAACCAACTGAGAATAAAGATCGATATATATAATATATATATAGACATATATGATGGAGAAGAGCCAGCAATATTGGAGCTCTTTGTTTCTCTTTTTATACTACATATATTATATATCCACTGATTATCCACAAATGATGGAGCAAGAGAGATCCTATTTGTCTTTTATGAGTTTGATTTTGACGGCAAGATCAGAGCTTTTGTCATGTCAATGCCATGCAAACCAGTTTCATATGAATTGTCAAATATTTGTTAGAAGATATTATCAATGAATTTACAGTCATATGTAATTCCATGCCCACTCGGGACTATACGTATCGGTATTGAATATATTATCCTTTTGGCCAGAAAAGTAGGGGTGAAGAAAGAAAAAAAAAGAAGTGAGAGTCTGAAATTGTATTGAAATTCAACCTTGATTATTGTTTGGCCAAATCATTACTGACATTGTTCAATTATATTCACGATTTTGATCCTAACTAAATCAAGCCGAAATGTTCCCCCAGTTCTAAGAAATGTTTTCTTTTTTGCTACTTTGTAAGGGAGTTAAATACTTTTTATCGAATACAAGTAATATTCTACATTAATATACCCTAAAGAAAGAATTTGAATCGAGGACGCAATCAATTAAAGAGGAAGACCTATGTTTGGATGAAGAAATTTAAGATTATTAAGGAATTTTAAAATGATGAAAATTGAAATGACGGGATTTTATTTTCTAGAATTTGTGAATTTTCTTGTTTGATTATGTTTGGATGAAGGAAATAAACTTGGAATTTGGATAAAAGTTAGAATTTATAAATTGACATGCATCAATTCCTTTGTTTGGATTTATAAACATAGAAATTTAGAATTTCCGCGTGAAAAAAAAACTTGGAATTTGAGGCCTCTAATTCCCAAGTTTAAATTCCATGTAAATAGGGGTCATTTCCCAATTTCTATGATTGAGAGTTTAACATTAACAAATTCTATTGTTCTTTTAGGTTAACCAAATAAGAAAATTCACAAATTCTAGAAAATAAAATCCCGCCATTTCAATTTTCATCATTTTAAAATTCCTTAGTAATCTTAATTGAGAATGGAATTTGTTAATTTTAAACTCTCAATTATAGAAATTGGGAAATGACACATATTTACATGGAATTTAAACTTGGGAATTGGAGGCCTCAAATTCCAAGTTTTTTTTTACGCGGAAATTCTAAATTTCTATGTTCATAAATCCAAATAAGGGAATTGGTGCATGTTAATTTATAAATTCTGACTTTTATCCAAATTCCAAGTTTATTTCTTTCATCCAAACATAGTGTAAGAGTCATATTAATTAATTACTTACAAAAAAAAAAGTGGAATACTTAATCTAGTTTAATTCTAACTCGTTTCTTGGCCATGTGACAAAAAAAAATTCAAAAAGAAGACCAAATAACTCCATTATTGGTGAGCCAAACATGATTAAATAATGTAATGACAAATGTATGTTATCAGTCACATGATAATATTAATATATACAAATTCTATGATTTTCTAGGGGAACCCTAAACCCTAATCCACCAAAAAGGAACCCTAGCCAGCTCTAATTTCCAATTGATTGGGAAGACCATTGGGACGATTATAATTTATTTGTTACTTTTCTCAAAGTTCTGTTCTAGGGTTTGAAATTATGCTCAGCGTTACGTTTTTCAAACTATGTAACTGTTTTGCTTCTGCTGCGCCTACCTTAATTTCATGGGACTAGTCTTTTGGGAAATAATTTCATGGAACTAGTTGGACTTGGACTCTCACGCAGCACTTAAAGGTCGGTGCATTAAGGCAAAAAAATATTAAAGTTGTTCAGCAAGTTTGGCAGGCCATGACTTATGATGCTTCTAAATGATTATTAAAACTTCAGGGAATAATGTGTCGGAAGTGCACCAAAAGATGACTAAGTTAGGGCTCCAGCTCGCTTTTATTTTTTTATATTTTTCTGCATAGAGAGAGAGAGTATGAGGAAAAACATATCCTTCAGTTTTCGGAAGAAAATTACCACAAGTGGCCTAAGCACATAGTTTAGACCGTTCACGTTCTCCTAGAAAATCAAGGTTTAAGAAAATTATGATCACCCGCTATTCGATTTTAATCTAACAGCAAAGGAAAAAAATAAAACAACAAAAGTTAAATAATTAATTACTGTTAAATAAGATTTGAAAAGGTGAGTGACTATAATTACCCTGGTATATAGGAGAACAAGACTGCTCATGTAAATTCTTTTGGTTTGCATGTCGTATAGAGTAGAGTATGACAAGTTCACATTTAAACTGTCAACTTAGGGCCACACATAATATCGTTACTCGTTAGAGGATCATTCGACATTAGCTGAAAAAAGGCAAGGAATTTGTAGCTAAAATGGTTTACAACATTTACTCGTGTACTCGAGCTCTATGTTCCATTCCCCTAGCCCAAATATTTGTTTGTGTCTAAATACATAAAAGAACTAGCTGAAGAGTATTTGTCTTTGCCTAGTTCCGATAATATCCGACACACGCAGAAAGAAGACATCATTTGACAGCATATGATGAACATCTAGTATTCTGAATAGTAGCGTTGAGCTTCTCGACCCTTTGCCTAAGGATTAGTCAGTTCTGTTTAAGTTTCTTTTGGAACATATTAGGAATCTCCTGATCTAATCAATCATGTAAGATTCAGAAACGAAAAAATTAATCACCAAAACCTTGTCTGCATTGTCGCCATATCAAAATAAAAATCTAGAAACATATATAATGAACAATTTGATAAAGCCAAATGTAAGAATTCTCTCTCTCACGCTATCCCCTCGCCTGCCCCCGTCCTTCCTCTCCCTCTCCTTCTCCCTCCATGTTCAACACAATCTGTTGAAATGAAGCTCATGTATCGCATAATTTGAAAGCATTGCTTTGTGCCTAAATACTACTAGTTCGTGCAGTCAAATCCATGGCAAATAGAAAGCCAGATTACCAGGACCAGAAGTACGAGGATTCCGAAAACGACCAACTTTATCTTCATGTTTTGATACCACATTTTCCTTCTTATTTGTGTTCCCTTATTTTTGTAATCTTGGGCCTGAAAAATGCAACAAGCAAACTTATTCAGCACTTAACTATGGGGTTAATACAGATGACAGATAAAAGGGCAGGGTTGATCTTGCCTCCACTTACCTGAGAACGAAGATCTTCAGTCTTGTCAACAAGAACAGTCAGGTTTTCCCCTCTATCGATAGCCTGAAAAGCATGTGTAGGTGGAATAAGCATGAAATGCAATATCTACGGCCTGGTTAATTGGTGTAACGAATCATATAATGCAAGGTTTATACATCCCAGATGGTGACTGCGAAAAAAGAAGACGTACTGGACTAATCTCACTAGAATGAATAACCAAAGTTGTAACGAGAAGCTCTTTCTGTTCAAGTGTTTATTGGGATTGACGACCAAGAGTCACTTTACTCAATTGTGGTAATTTGTACAATGAGAAACCATATGCCTAGTAGACAGAACTATGAATTCGTACTTAATGCTAGTTGCATGGGGCTACCTTGTTTGCAAACAAGTAAAGTACTCCAACCACCAATACAGTACAGTACAAATACAGGGACCTCCCATACGATTCTAATAATTATATATACTCGAGTAAACTTTAAAAGCTGACATAACAGAGTAATAATACATATAGCACCACAGCCAGAAATGTAAATCACGACAGAAGCCCCTATACCCCATTCTAACAGTCCATAACACCAGTGAATTACAAAATCACAATCAGAGAGTGACAAACAAACAAGGTCTCCTTGCTTCTTTATATCTTTCTGATCCTTCTTAGTTTGGGATTCCTCTGCTTTAGGGATTAGGAACTATATCTGAATTTTTTTTTACTTCCTCTAAGGAAAAGCTTGCCACCTTGATTGAAACGCAAATCATTCCCTTGCCAAAAGAATTAAGAAAAAATACTCTTCAAACAGATTCTCCATGCATTTTTACTCTCTAAAGCTATAGATTTGCCATTTTCGATGACCACCACACGCCTCGGCAAACCCCAGCACCAACATTACCACACCACCACCATGAATAAGTCACTCACATTCATGATGAAGCCATTTGACACATCCACTATGAGGTCACATCTCTTCCTATTACTAATAACTGCTAGTTGTTAGATTTTATCCATCGTTAGATTTTCATAAATTTTTGAAAGGCTAAGTTCAACAACTTACTTGATTAAGGGCAACTTAGAAATTTTTTTAGTCCCACTTAGTGAGGACCAATGTGTCTCTCATGTAGAAATGATGAGGGAGGTCTAAATAGACTTTGGAAAGACGGGGGATGTATGTGTTTGCTATAAGAAAAACAGAAGAAAAAAAAAACAGGAAGACAAATAACAAACTTCTGGTAGAAACAGCACTAATTAGACCTGTGTGAGCAGATGGTATATCAATAACTAAAAGCATTCCTACTTTGACAGTGAACAGATGCACTATATCTGAGAAAAGAAACCATACCTTATCAATATTCTCTAACATTATACTTTTAACTTCTGAAACTTGCGCCTTCACTTTCAAAAGTTTTTCAATCTCTTCTGCATGATCAATTATATACTTCATGTGCTCTTTCATAACTGGTCTGTAATCTTCAAAATCATCTCAGTTTCCATTTGGACAGAAATTTGTTCTCAAAAGAATAGAGTTACTTGAACATAATCTATCATGATTCATGAATGAACATACCCGAATTCCTTGTTAAGACTTTTGGCAACAGCCGTATCTGCTTTACCACCCCCATATCTTTTTCTGAAGTCAGCTCTCACTCGTTCTAAAATGCAATAGATATCTGCTTGCCGACAGAGTCTTTGGCAACAACACAGTATGCTGCAAATTCCATAAAACACGGATAAGAGGTCTGACACCAAAAAACTTCCCCCTAAAAAAACTCTCAGATTCAAAGTACTTTGATTTGGGCACACACATAGATGCATCAACAGACTACAGAAAATAACAGATTGTACTACTAATTCGTTAACATCCAGTTCATACAGAAACTAAGACTATCTCAACCTTATTGTCCAGGTTAAAACCGATAAACTTTTAAAGCTATATACAACATTTATTGAAATGGACATTTGTATGCAAATAGTACTAGCATGAAACATAATAAAATAAACATATAGCTATTGAAATGGTTCAACCCCAAGCTTAGATGAACTCACAGGTCGTCTCTGTGGCCAACTGATAGGCACAAGGCTAGAATAGACAATTTTTTTGCCTTTTTAGTTAAAGAAGGCCAAAAGCCTAGAGCTGAGAGTCGAACTCTCAGTGTGGGTGTGCGTGTGCCGTAACAGCTCTTAACAACTACGCTATGAGCATCCACGAACTGATGCTAAATTTGATTTGAGTCATATAATAGCTATCTATTTCCATAAAGTAAGGGATCCAAAATACGGGGCAGTCAATTAAATTATGGGTTGCATCCTAAAGAATGCATGGTGTAAGTACAGGCTCTACTATTAAATGAACGCAATCTAAGAAATGTGATACCAATCCATGGAGACTAAAAAGTTTGTTTTTTTCTCTTCATAGTGAACTAGAGAATTCAAAACGCCATTTGAATTTTCAGCATCTAAACGCGGAAAAGCGTTGATCACATTTACTATTATTCAAATGGTATTTAAAGTGCTTCCTTCTTCTTCATCTCATAATTATGTAAATTATTTCATCAAGTTCCTTCATTTTCAACAATTCAACCAAATCTACTCACCAAAATTCACCTGATTTCCAAGCCTAGTCAATATTAGCTAAATGCCTAGTGAATTGAGCTAAATGCCAAGTCTTCTAATTGTCGAAAGCCAAAAAAAAAAAAACAAAACAAAACGAGACTCAAAAATTCAAAAATTTTCTCAGCAACCAAACTGAAGAAAGTTGAGGTTTTACCATACAATATAGGAAGTAGCCCGATAACTTATAGATATAAGCACATGCAAGGTCCCTTCTTTCCCCGACGTGGGATTCATACTCAATACAAACAGTTTAAAAGACTCAAACTTTACCAAAGGCTCCGAAAACCAAGCAAACCCTAGTTCAAAAAGCTCACTAATTTCCAACTTCCCACTACAAACCAATCAAATCCCAGATCATAAATCCTCACATTTCTCTCTTTCACATTAGATCCAGCTACTCCGGCAAGCAATTCAAGCTCCCGGACTGTCTGTTTTCCAGGAAAACAAAAGAAAATCATACAGAAACAGAAAGTAAAGAGATCAGCCAGCTGGAATCGAATAGAACTACGCACCGTATCCATCCTCCACGAGGAAATTGAAGGTGTGGTGATCGCAGTTGTAGGTGAACTTGTTGTTGGAGGAAGGAAGCTTCTGGAGACACTGCGCCGCAATCGCGGGGAAGTTGCCGGTGAACTGGGTGTACTCCGACAAGATCATCGTACCTCGGGCCACGAAGCTGTAGATGAACGATTCCTGAGTCATTGTCGAGTTGGCGAGTGAGCTCGCTCGGAGGTCTGGAAGCAGCGCAGCGGTAGCAGACAAAATCGAAGGCTCTGGTTGGTCTTTGTTTCTTTGTTATGAAGTAAGAACTTTTGCTTTTGTGGTTTATGATGCTTAATTAATTATGCTTAACGCTCATCATTAAGTCACTAAAACAGTGGAGTCTGAATTAATTATTATTTTAATTGAATTTAGTGGACAGGGATGTGATTCAAAACTGTTTGAGAAAATGTTTTTTCTTGGACTGAAAGTCGTAAAGCGTCTCTCTGCTTTGACCGGTGTAGACTGTAATGGCGGTAATGCCCCTGCTTAGGCGCGAGGGCACTGTAATACAATTGGCGATCCAGGTCCGCAGAGGAGGGTATTCTGGGAAACACAACCGATTACTAAATAAAAAAACAGCTGGCGGCGTTTGCAGTTTTTCTGTCACCTTTCAATATTTTGAATTTTGGCTACTCGGTCGTCTTGAAAAAATGTTAGTTAGTTTACCAATTCGTAATGAGATTTAAAGGAAACAAAATCTAAATTCGTTGCCTTGACGATTGAGTTGTGAAAAGTCAAAAAAAATAAATGCGTGAATATTATCTTTTTAAAAATTTAGTACTGAATTGTTATGTCCTTGTGCATCAAAGTTGATCTTGTGAAATTCTCATATTTATCGTGAAATTTTTTTTTTTGTTGATGATTTGGGTCGTTTGAGTTTGTCATGCAATTTGGGTCCAGTTTTTTTTTTTTTTAGCAAGCTCCTCCTTCTTGCCATCTGTTGCTAATTGCAAATATAACTGGGTCTCGTGAAGTCATTATATTCTTATGTAATCTTTCTTTTCTTTCAGGTTTATATTGTGACAGCCCGTCCCGGGATATTTGTTTTGATGGTGTGAAATGTCGATTCTACCCTTGAGAGTGAGTTGTGGTTGTGTAAATAAGCTAAGAAATTAAACAATTGAGTTTACTTATTTTCTTCGTAACCTTTTGGACCCAATTAGAACTAAAGGTTCTAATTGTTTTGGTTAGTTGTAAGAAAATTTGGACCACACACATTCTCTCTCTCCCGTTGACTCCCTTTCTCTCTCTTCCCTCTCAGTTTTTCTCCATTTTTCCGTACAACGTACGGACAAACCTCAAACCAAATCATTTCGTTGCAGATTGAGGTTGTGATCGATGTTTTTGGACTCCTTGCAAGCTTAGGAGTCGAATGGTGGTGATAGTTGGACGTGAAAACCTCGAAAACCCCGAGAAACCATAATCTCCGAATTGAGCATTGTTCATGCAATCGTGAATGTGAGGTTTTTAGAAGATTTTAAACTGCTAGTGAGCTTTAGAACATCTTCACGAAGCTCAGAGAAGAAAAACAAAGTGAATTGGATGTCGGGGAAGTTGAGTTTGGCAAGATTATCGAGGATTCTTCGGCGAAATCTCATGGATTTTAGGGCTTTAAATTGGTAAGGTTTTGTTCTTCTCGTTGTAGGCTTCAATTTGACATAAATTTTGTGAATTTTGGTTGAGAATCGAAGAAGATATGAAGGTTTGATTGTTTTTCCAAAAACCAGCGCCGGCGAGATTCTCTAGCGAACCACGGAAGACGAATGAGAATATTTCGTCAAGTCTGATGGAATATTATAAAGGTGTCAGGTAACGTCATTAATTTTTGTTAAGATTTAACGGAATATTCCTAACGGCAATTAAGTTTCAGTTAGGGTTTGGCCGCGCGTGGGGGCGCGTCTGGCCATGTCTTGGCCGACGCGTGGGAGGTCGAAAAAAATTTCTAAAATATGGAGATGTTCTCGAGGTTGAGTAGGTCCCAGTGGTATATTCAAATACCCCATTTAAGCATTGTATGAGAAGTTATTTCCTAGTTTTTTGTATGTACTTCAAATAACGTTTATTCAGTTATTTCGCATATAGGTGAGACCTATCCTGAGGACGAGCGCAATCAAGGCTCAGGGGCTATGACCCTTCGACATATCAGTGAGTGGGCTTTTGGTTTTTCCGTATATACCTATATACTTGATTTTTCCCAGAAAATGAATTTGAATGGAGTTACGTTTTGAATTGCCATGCAAAGTATCTATCTATTTTAGTATGCATTAGTAGTTGCATATATATATGATTGGTGTTACGGACGCACAGGTAAGTACCAGGTAAGTTCATAAATAAAAGGTATAAGGTAACTTCAACTATGTGAGATATGATGTGATGTATTGAGAGCTCATAAACTTGCACCCCGGTGTTAGTGCTCCCGCCCAGAGTTAGGGCACAATCTTTCACGTGATGTTCACCTCCCGCACCATATGCTCACCTTGGATCCAAGTTAGGTGCACAGGCTTGTCGTACAGACCACTTTAGGTGGTTCCGACTCGTAGGTGACCCGCGATTATTCACACAACCTTCACATGATCGTAGCACTAGAGCATATTTATATTACACATAGTCTTGTCGTATAGACCACTTTAGGTGGTTCCGACTCGTGGACAGGATTTGATTTGATATGGTTGAGATTGGTTATGAGCTATATATTCAGCCATGCAGATTAAGTTAGAGGGATTTGGCTGATACGATATTTGACATTGATATATTTTGCCTGGATTACTTATGGCATTGCATTGAGATACTTTGGCATGGTATACTTCTATGGATTTTCATCTTGAGTATGATTTCTGATACAGCTTATTATTATTATATTTTTCTGGGAAAATTATAAAGGTTTACGACGAGGGGTTAGAACTTTTGAGAAATGAAATGATTTTGAAAAGCTTTGTTTTTGCCCACTCACAGTTTCTGTTTTGCACCCCTCCAAGTTTTAAGTAGCAGTGCTTTGGTGACTCACGAGGACTTCAAAGGTGGTTCTGACAGAACATCATAAATGTAGGATCACATTTGGGTGTTATCTATATCTAGTACTTGTTCTGCTTGACTGCATCTAGGATATTTATGCTCTGGTTGTGTAATTCACATTTAATCTCACACTAGCACTTTATCTTAGCTAGTAATGCTACTAGTAGTTGGTTTTTATTTAGTCATATTTCCCTTGTATCTATTTTGCTTTTGCACTGTGCACATGGTTACGTCACTCTCACGTGACGGTCAGCATGCTTCGATCTAGGTCGGGGTGTGTCATATATCTCGTTGTCAACAAAAGAAAAAGTAAAAAGAAGTTATGAATAATATCAAATTATGTGGACTATCATAAATTAATTTTATGAACATTTTAACCTAAAAATATTTACATTCCGATAAACATTGAAAAATCACTAAACCGACACATGAAACTCATGAAATACTATGGAATAATATGAAACACATGATAAAGATAATTAAACACAAGACATATGAACAAACACATGGTTTTGAAAGATGGTAGAAAGAAAAATTGGAACAATTGTAGGAGAAAAGTGAGTTTTGTGTGGATGTTTCTACAAATACATAGGTATTTATAGAGTTCTTAGGTGAATTTTGAGTTAAATAATTTTTTATAAATATTTTAACTGTCAAATTTAAATTTGGGCCGTTAGATTTTTTTTATGCCCTTAGATTTGATCATATTCGATATCAATTGTTGGATTCAATAAATTTATAAATATAAAACAAAAATATTTACTAAATTAAATATGGACCGTTGGATAACCAACAGCCCATTTGAATGTGAGTTGTTGATCAACCAAAAGAGTTGTTCGGCTCAATTTTATTGGCAGACAAGTGAGAGACACACTCATGTGGGTGGGGACCGCAAGGGGCTGCACTTTGCAGCTTTGAAGTTGGCTGAAAAGCGTGCCTCAAGTGGCACGCGTGAATTTGGGCGCTTGTTGTCCAATTTCATCTGTTCCACTCTCACATGGGCTCCACCACTAACCTTGGCCTAAATCTTGGCTGGAATCTAGCCTTTTTTTAGGTTTTAGGCCCAAATTAGAACTTGAGTTGGAATGAATTGGGGGAATAGAAGGGAAGTTATAGGTTTTAGGCCATGGTTTGGAGTTGGCCTAATGAGATTTAAGGGAAACAAAATCTATATTCGTTGCCTCATTTATTGAGTTGTGGGAAGTAAATAGAAGTATATAAATATATATCACTTCTAAGGGAGATTTTTCAGTGTGACCGGCACACGAGGTGGTACACCATGTGTTACTATACAAATCATGGGATATATGTGTTAAAAAGTTAATAACTTAAAAAATAAAATTTTCCACCACTTACATAAAAACACTTGGTGTACCATCCGTATTCCAATCACAATAAAAAATTTCTCCACTTCTAAAACGTTTAGTACTGAATTATTGTGCCCTTATGCACTAAAGTTGGTCTTGTGAAATTCGTCATATCTAATTCGAATTTTTTTTTTGTTGACGATTTGCGTAGTTTGAGTTTGTCATGCAGTTTTAGTCTAGTTTTTTTTAGCAAGCTCCTCTTTTTTGCCATCTGTTGCTAATTGCAAATATAACTGAGTTTTTGTGACCTCGTGATATTTTTATATAATCTTTCTTTTCTTTCAAGCTTCTCGTTGTCAATAAAAAATAAAAATAAAAAGAAGTGTATGAATAATATCAAATTGTGAGTTACTTTTTTGACGAATTACTTTGATGGCATGTTTACCAAACTAGAATGGAATGGCAAGAACCGGAATTGCATTCTTTTCCAGGCATTCAAGCTGTTTACTAACATTTCCGGAATGAAAAACAAGATGGGGTCCACTTAAAATCTCCCGGAATCGGATCCCTAAATCTCTCGGAATCGGATCCCTAAATCTCTCGGAATCGGATCCCCCTAGATGGAGGTTGTATTTGGATTCCGGAGAGAAGGCTCTTCCAAGAATCCAACTTTTATACCCAAACTACCCCCTAGATGGATGGGCTTTGAAGACTGAGTTGGTGGAATCGGTTGTCGTTGGCGAAAAACGAATTTGAAACTCGTTCGGTGCCTTATCTGCCAATTGAACGACACTCTAACACCCGAAATTGAAGCTGCAATGGTGGTGGATCCACTGCTATGGTGGTTGTGGGGTATATTCCAGTGGCTGTGTGGTTGGAAAAAGATGGAGGGAGATGAGAAGTAGATGGCAAAATAAGAGGGGGAAGCTGAAGATAGTTGGGGTATGTGCGATGCAGACCATGAAAGAAGATAGTTAGAGTATGAGACGGCAATGAGACCGCAGTGCAACTGGACAAGGAAATGCAAGGGTGAAAGGCAAGGCAAGGAAAGGCAAGGTGGGCTATGGAGGCGTAAGGGGGTGGATTTGGTAATTGGAATGTTTGGAAAGGCAGGGGTGGGTGGAGAAGGGACTCTGATTAAGAAATTATATAGAAGAATTTTATTATATGAATTAATTAAGAAATTTAATTTAATTAATTAGTATGAAAATAATTTATTTATGTAAGGGCAATTTAGTAATTAATCTAATTTTAATTCTGATTGAAGTGAATGAGTAAACAACTCCATTAGGAATGTGATTCTGATTCCACCTCATTTCAATTCCTCCTCAATCCAATTCCTCTCAATCTGATTACAGATTAGTAAACGCGTCCTGATTGTCGTCCGTGGAAGGTCTTGCTTTACTTTCTATGAGTTACTTTGATTTAGGAAAAGTGGAAAAGTCAGTATATTTTCTCCACTACGTTTATTTACGTGTTTAGTTTTCATAATTGGATGAATTTTAGATTATGTTTATATGGCATTCAGTGCAAAGCAGAGGCAATCAGGCAAAGTGCAAACAATTAGAATAAAGAAATTAAAAGATCAAACCTATTTTGTTGCAAGGATGGAAATTCTAATGTGGCCTTCAACGCTTCGTTACAGATTTTGGTTTCAGGAGCATACGGCATAGATAGGAGAACCGAGAGGTGGAGCTGGGACTTCCGATTGGTAATTATGTGATGAGCGATAGTTTTTATAGGAGAGAAGAGATAGTTTTTGTGAAAATGAAAAGGCCACTACAGTTGTATTTTTTGGGGTAAATTATATAAAATTATCTTAACTATTGGGTCAATCACAGTTTCAAATTCCATCTTTAAATTTTTTTTAATATCATACCTCATCTACCAATTTTTTACAATTTCATACCTTCCGTCAAAACGTGGCATGAGACGGGATCCATTTTTCTATTAAAAATTTTAAAAAATATTAAAGAAACTAAAAAAAAATCATTAAATTTTTTTTTTACATATCCCCTCACCCTTTTCCCCCTCCTGTCTTCCCCAAAACTAAACCCAGAACCTACCTCACCTTCTTCCCCGCTCATGTCCTTCACCACCCCACCGCCGCACAATTCATTCCTCCCACCTCCCCATCTCAATTCATTCCCCAATTAATTTCTTTCTTTTTTTTTCGATTTTCGATTTTAATTTTTCCAATCACAGCCGGGACCTGCAATATCGACGGCACGGCTCCGGGACCTGGAATCGCAGGAAAAAATGGCAGCATCTCGACGGCTCCGTGACTTGCGGCAACGAGCAGGGGAGGAATGAAGAAGATGGAGGTCGGCGGCAACAAGCAGGGGAGGTGGTTCTGGGAATAATGGGGGTGGGATTGTTGGGACGACGATGGTTTCAGATCGTCGAGCGATATGAGAAGGGTGGGAGGGAGAGAGTCGAACGATGGCGTGGGATCTGGGTTTGGGTGGTATCTGGGTGGTTTTGGGTTTGGGGAAGACGTGGGGCGGAGGCGGTGGGGGTGAAGGACAGGATTGGGGAAGAATGGGGATAGGGTCTGGGTTTAGTTTTGGGGAGGACAGGAGGAGGGAAATGCTTACAAAAGAATTTTAAAATGACGAAAATTGAAATGAAGGAATTTTATTTTCTAGAATTTTTTAATTTTGTTGTTTGGTTAACTTAAAAGAACAATGGAATTGAAGACGGAATTTGTTAATTTTAAACTTCTAATCATAGAAATTGGGAAATGACACTAATTTACATGGAATTTAAACTTGGAAATTGGAGGCTCCAAATTCCAAGTTCTTTTTCCACGCAGAAATTCTAAATTTCTATGTTATAAATCCAAACAAGGGAATTGGTGCATGTCAATTTATAAATTATGACTTTTATCCAAATTCCAAGTTTATTTCCCTCGTCCAAATATAGTGTGAGGGGATATGTAAAAAAAATTATTAAATGATTTTTTTTAGTTTTTTAATATTTTTTTAATATTTTAATATTTTTTTAATAGAATAGTGGGTTCTGTCTCATGTCACATCACTATTTAACGGAAGAATTGACAGAAAACTGACAAAAGAAATTGTAAAAAATTGGTAGATGAGGTATGACATTGAAATTTTTAAAAGATGGGGTATGAAACCATGATTGACCTAATAGTTGAGGTAATTTTATGTAATTTATCCTATTTTTTGTGAGAATTGAGAGAGAAGCGATAGTTTTCTGAAAACAAAGAAAGAAAGCATTTGGCTGTTTTGAGAAAAAGTTATGATTCTCGATTTTTTAATTTTAATAAGACTTGACCCGTTAACCCGTCATGAAGCAACACAAAATTAACAGGTATTTAGGTTGACACGATAACGAATCGTGTCGTATCAAGTAACTCGATAAGCACTTGTTAAGATAATAGGTCAGTTTAGGTATACACGTGGATACAACGTTACACAATAATAAAATATTAATTTAATAATATTATGCTACTAAAAAGAATACTATAATTACCAGCAGTAGGATTTAATCCCGTACCGAATTGAAAGTTAAAATATAAATATAAATATATATATATATATATATATTCAAATTAAATTTAGAAAATTGATAAATGTTAGATCAATTAAGATTTAATTTCGGGCGTCCTATGTTTTTCTCAACCCTAAATGAGACTCTTTCTTATTCTTGAAGGCTCAAATTGTAGCAGCTGCTCTCTCTCTCAAATTGAACTCTCGAACCTCAACTTCGGTCAGCCACAAGTCCACGACCACCACCTTTGTTACTGTCATTTGAAAAGAAAAAAAAAACAATACTTTAAATTACAATTTACACACCCAATATAATTCTTTACACACACACTATCTCCGCAACCAAACAGACCCCAGTACATGTACTTAAATAGAATAAAATAGCTTGATGTTGGCAATTTCAAGAGGTAAAATGAGATAAATTTAATTTTAGAGAAAAAATGAATTAAAAGATATGGCTATCAATATATATATGAATCTCATATCTATTAGATAGATAATACAAATATGATATGAAAAATATGAATTGAGATCATCTTCAAATCTCTGTGTTCAAAATTTAAGGATCCAGAGATCCAATTGTTGAAGAGAGAGATCCAGCTCTTGATTTATCTTAGATAATCCAATAAAATGAGCTAATAGAAGCCATAAAATTAAAATCGAATGATCTGAATTTCTCTATTCCTAAACTTCGAAACAGAAATAATAAAAAATAATTTCAATTAAAAAAATATGATAAAAATAGCAATTTTCAAACAAAAGCAGTCAAAGTTGTCGAACAGTCGCACACAAAACTCAGTACATTTTACATGCGGCAATCTCAGAGTCCCACTGTCCGCTAAGTGCCTGCTTGCCGACCCAACCGACACTCAAAATTCAAAATTTGAACTTCCTCTCCTCCTCCTGTTCCACCAACTGAACTGAAATCTCCAAATTTCAAACAAACACAACTCAAACAAACCTCAGAAAATCAAAAATCGTCATCTGATCCGGTCCCAATCCCAAATGGCCGCCGCCAACTCTTCTGATTCCTCGATTCCCTCCACTCCTCCTCCACTCTCCTCCGTACGCACGCTCCTCCTCTTTATCCTTACCATTTCTTTCTCTTTAATTTGTAATTTCATGTTTATAAATCTTTTAAAAATGTTTTCAACTTGGAATTTGGTTTTGTATGATTGCAGAGCAAGGAGAATGTGACCCCGATTGGCTCCAAGCTTGCGGTAAACTATTTTTTTGTTGCTATTTTTTTTTTTACATGTATTTTGTTTAGGGTTCCGAGAATTCGAATTAGAAAGAAAACCCCAGATTGTAATTTTGGATTTAAAACTGTTTTTAATTTGGTCCAGAATGTTATGGTTGTTCATAGGAATTGAATGAATCGAGGTCTGAGCTACTTGGTAGAATTCAAGGGTTGAAGCAGGTGAAACAACTGACCACTACTTTCTCTCATCTCATCACATAATGGTGTTTGTGCCTAATTTGCTTGTTTACTGATTTGGGTAATTAGGATTTGCAAAGTTGGAGGTCGAACTTAGACACTCAAGTGAAAGTCTACCACGATGTAAGTGTTTATATAATTTTTTCATACATTTGAAAAAGCATGCATTTGGATTCAGTTTATTAGTTAATCTTGGTGGGATTATTTGTTCTTGCTAATGTATGTATGGTTAATGTACGATTTGGGTGCCTGTCATATGCATTTGAATAATTAGCTTTTGGAATTTGTACGTTTATTATCTTAGTTGATGATGTTTGTGTTGTGTTTAGGCGTGCATGCAGTAAGAGAGAGAGAGGATTTTTTAATCTGTTGAGAACACTTACGAGTTACATCAACAAACTATTTCCCTGTTCATATTCTCAAACCTCAAAACCACAACTGTTGGTGTTTCCCATTGACCTTTGATATCTATAAATCACATATGTCTGATGTATAGAAGGTGATTGAAATGGCCCAAAAAGTACAGAAATTGGGTTGTGCATCAAACTTGGATGCAAATAGTAAATACGAATAAGTTTGCTGAATGTGTTTGTTTCGTTATATCGAATCTCTCTTCTGATTGGATTGGATCTAAAATTTGTTTGCTCATAGTTGTATGCATTCTTCTTGCAAGTGTCGACCATGTTCAACTCTTGATGCAATTCTCTTCCTTAATGCAGGAGCTTTCAGAACTCAAGAAATCCCTCAACACTGAAGTGGATCAACTTCGATCTGTAAGTTGTGCTCCAGCGATCAATATTCGTCCAAGTTTGATTTTGAAATGTGATCGTTTATGCTAACTTAAGTCTTTGAACTGAAACTAGGAATTTCAAGATCTGAGGACCACTCTTCAGCAGCAGCAAGAGGATGTTACGACTAGTCTTAGAAACTTGGGGGTATGTTTTCATCACTGCTTACGGGTGTGTCTTTTGAGTAAAAATGTTAGCATAAGAGCTGGATTAACATCTTATTAATTTCTTCAGCTGCAGGATGTTTCAGGAGAGAAAAAAGAAGCCCAAGATACCGAAGAACCAAATGTTTCAACCAAGGTGGATGAGGCCAAAGAAGGTGAAAGCTAGATTGACTTCACCCCGGAGCATGCGTGGCATACGTTCATGCCTAAGCAAATTGTGATTCTTCGTGAATCTGAAATTTGTTATGGTGGTTTAGATAGAAGTTGCCACAACCTTGTTGTCTTGCGTAACGCACAACTCGTTTCTGAATCAAATTATGTAGTATTAACAATATCCTCAGCGTAAGCAGCTTTCTATCAGTTTTTTTCTCTCCTCTCATTTGTGCATCCCCGTTGTTAATATACATCCAACGTGAGATGATTTACTGTATTGTCCTGGCAAAATGGTTGTGCTGGAGAACTGATCCAGAGGACGAAATTGCTTGTGCTATTGTGAGTGATGCTGTCACGGAGATTGCGCTGTCGGCAAGATGCGTGCTTAACATCAGATTATCTGGTGGTGCCGCATCATATATGATTGCACTATACATGTATACCTCATGGTTTTTTGAGTTGGCAATGCGTGAAGAGAGCCTCGTATCTTTTAGGCGCTAATGCAAAGCTTCTTTCATTTTCCGACGTGAAATCTCTCAACACGCATCTGGAAAAAACTTAAATTATACAAACAACCGTGAGTGATGAGACGTATTGAGTGTTGTAGGAACATCCATCGTCTTGTCAAGATACCTGCTGTCTTGGGCCTTTGGCTGTCGGGTCTGGGTCGATATGGTGGTTGAAGGTGGTGGCAACTCTTAATCCGACTAACAAATTTTGTACTCTAGTATGGCAACTCTTAATGCGACTAACAAATTTTGTACTCTGAGTATGTAATCATTTGAATTGGCGATCTACCCATAAAAATAAAGGAAAACTAATGAAAAGGGTTTGAAAACTTTGAGTTTTAATGATAAGGACAAAATAAAGGGTCAAGTGAATAGTAACAGGATTGACTTTTTAGTGTAAAAATGTGTTTTTTCGTTAAAGTGAACAGTACCGGGTGCTTTTCGTTAAAGTTCCCTAAAAATAAAGGGTGCTGCTATTCACATACATATTTTTACCTCTTACACATCTCTCCTAATTTTCGATCGTCAGATCCTGTGAATTGAAAAAGATCAATGAACAAAAATTAATAATAATGTGTGAAAAGTAAAATAAAGTGTGTGAATTACATTACCCAAAATAAAAGTGTTATCATTTGTGACATGCAAATGTCTCTCGTCATCATTAATGCATGGAGAGAGTGTTGTCGTAATGATATGATCGATTGATCAGCAAACTACATTTTCCAAGGAATTAGGTGCCCTTAATGAATCGAATTTGGGGTTTGTTGCGATATTTATGATCCAAATAATTAAAGAGTTCTGGTCTGCAGGGGTAATTTTTGCATGGTGGATTTTGAGTTGTATTACTAGCTGCACATTTAAATCTTCATTTATTTAGTGCACGTCATATATCAGAATACAACAGAATTTTTGCATATTTTATCATATTTAATTGCAGTGTTTAATTATTCTTTACTTTTGACAACAACAAAAAAACAAATTATCCTTTACCTCATCTTTGTTTATTCTAATTTATAATTATAGTGTTTTTTTATCTTTATACGTATATTCTCTACCTCTATATAGACTTAATCATCAGTTAAAGCAAGATTAGACGTTTTTAATTACTCTGATGTTTAGAAATTGGATCCCATCAGGATCCACTTTGTGGAGATCCTAAGAATCCCCACATCTTAAATATTTATCATGTATCTTGCGGTCAGAAATAATTTATTTATTTTATTTAAAATTAAACACAAATAGTATCTGATAAAAACTGGCCGCACGATATACGATAAACGGCTAGGATGTGGGAATCCCTAGAATCCCCACAAAGTGAATCCGGAAAAGAAAGTAGAAAATCTCTATATCAATTTAATTATTTATTTCTTGTTTTATTTATTGACAGACATAGTTAATTATAAAATTTAAGATTTAAATGGTAATTTCAAGCCCTAAATAATTAAACGTACCAATAGATGATATTAGAGATGAGGAAAATTGTGTAAAAGTGAATTTCTTGAACTTCAAGTTCAGAAAAGAACTGGATATGCTAGGGGGATCGTATTGTACCACCTCTTTAACATACGAAAAATAGAGTCTACCTATACAAGTAAGTTCATATCGATAGAAGAGATGACATTACGCGGTCTACTAAAATGTAATCTCCCAAATATTTTCCGTGTTAATTTATACTACAACAGCATAAAGTTTGGCTGGTTTCCAGGGAAAATGAAATGAAAATAGAGCAGCTTTTTCTTTGTCTGTGTCAAATTGTTTTATCTGTAATTGACTGAAACGAATTGTCCATGTCCTCTGCTAGGTTAAGTGCCCATGAAGCAAGCTCAACTTTAATAGATGAAGTGGGAAAGTTTCTATTTATTACTTTAGGGCTTCTGTGTATCCAAATCTGTTGTATGTATACTGCCCTCTTTGTACTGCACATACCGCTCCAAAGGCCAAACTAATCTACTTTTTATTATTTTTATTTATTTATTATATTTGTTTCTTGAGGGTTTTGGTTGTTTGAGAGAGAAAGGCCTGAACTTGAATTCAATGTCCTTGGGAAGCAACGGATTTATCATTCTCACAAATGTGACTTGTGATCCACAAAGCCTCTAGTTTGGGTTAAGATGTTGTTTGGAATAAGTTACATCTTAATCTGATTCGATCTAATTAAACTTTTAAACGTAACTGTCACACCGTCACGTGATGTTATCAGTTCACAATCAATCATGTCAATCCATTATAATGAATGGATGTGACTGTCACATTATTCTTGCTATAATGTGGTATAAATATGTGGTCTCTCTAACATTACTCTTATTACAATGTGTGACCGTCACACCTAAAATCTCATTAAATTGCACGTCACTTGTTTTTTTTATATACAACGATATATTGCAGTAGTGGTTCGATTAAGTCACACAGTAAAGCAACAATAATAACTTAGTACTCACTCACAATAAAATCTAAAATTTCTCACGTACAAGAAAAAAATATTATTAGACCGTATCATTATTAACAATTGTTTGATATTGTTTTAGTTTTTGAGATCAGTATGATTAACACACCTTAATTACTACTTCCCTCATATATCATCAAAGGATCATTAATTGTAGTCAAATATTTCATCATTTTTTTGGTTGAGGGAGAGCAGGAACTTTGATAGCTGCGCACTCGCTCTCCTCCTCATACTTGTGTTTTATATTACACTCCCATCTCTTCTCTCACTCACATTCATCCCTCTTCACTGTTTTACCTTCATTTTATACCTCTGGTAAATTTTGCTCTCTCTCTCTCTCTCTCTCATGGCTTCTCAACAAGAACCTCTCAAATATCAGGTACACAAACAAGACACATTGTTCTTCTTTCTCTAACTAACATGCTACTGTTCTACTTCATAATTTTTTACACCATTTTCACGTTTTTTCTTCAGACATGGATCTTGAGAGTTCCTATGCACTGTGAAGGTTGCAAGAGGAAGGTCAAAAAAGTTTTACAAAGAACTGATGGTACAAAATTAATTACCTTTTTTTTTGTGGTATAATACATATATTAGTCACTGTGTTTCTGCTCGACTTCAACTTTGATCACTGTATTTTAATTTTTTTTTTCAATTTAGTCGCTGTATTTTTACTAAAATGTTTATTGCAGGTGTTTACACCACAGCTATTGACTCACAGCAAAACAAAGTAACTGTCATTGGAAACGTCGGCATTCAGACCCTCGTCAAGAAGTTGGCCAGGAAAGCAGGCAAGCAAGCACAGGAATGGCCGGAAAAGCTCACCGGAAAAGATAACAAGGCGGAGAAATGCAAGAACAAGGAGAAACAGAAAGTCCCAAACCAACAAAGTGTAGAGAAAGTTGAAGTCCACAAGCTTACCACGGCTCAAAACAGAGCAACTAATACTACTGAAATCGACCCAACTAAGTTTCCCGGCGAAACTTCACAGAATAAGGCCACCGGCGGCGGCGGGTCTCCGGCCGTGGAGGTTCGGATCGGTGAAAGTGAGATGAGTGTGAGTAGCAAAAAGAATAAGGGGAAGGGGCCAAAAGATGATGAGAGTGGTTCAGCAGGCTCTGGTGCACCAGCATGCATAGGATCTCAACCAGTAGATCCAGTTGATCTCTTCCGTACACGCCAGATGGCATATGTGTACCCGCTGGCTCCTTGTCATTCTTATGTTCCATCGTCACCGTACACGTGTGCACCAACTGGTCATCAAGAAGATGACTGGGTGAAGGCAACAGAGCTGGAGAGTTTGCAGGTTTTCAGTGATGAAAACCCTAATGCATGTTTTATCATGTGAGGTTAGAGTTGCCAAAAATCAAGATCTAACTGCTAAAACATTCCACATAGTAGAATTTTCAATTGTAGTGAGGAGGAAATAAGAGAAAATATTAGAGTGGAGAAAAAGTAGGGGACGTTCGGAATTCCATTAACATGACTAATGTTGTTTGTGAACAAAGAATCATTTATGCTTAATTGTTTAGACATGCTTCTGTAAGGACCATGGAAGAAAATATCGGTGATATCGGAAATATCGGTAGTTCGAAAACACGGAAATATCGATGGAAATATCGGTAAAATATCGATATCGATAAAAATTACATGGAAACCACGGAAATTGTAAAAAAAACTTGGAAATTTTTATTGAAACTTTGTAGGATGTTTATTTAGTCAATTATCTATTAGTTTATCACAAAAAATTGGAAGGAAATGCATTGCATGATGGATTTAACATTATCAAGTTGATTATATAGCGATCTGACAAACATTATGAGTGTAGAAAATATGTAGTAATTAATGAAAGAAGTCTAAACACACCATAATTATTTATATGTAATGAATTAGTACAATATTTTACACTTTAGTACCACATAGAGTTCCTGAGGTTCAAATTTGTCACTATCGTCATCATCTCTATGTGTAGAATGAGTGTATTGTGAAGAGTAGTTATCAAATGATAAATCCCCAAAATAGTTTTGCATGTAATTGTTAATATGCCACCCATATGGATCCGAGATTGGTTGAGGTTGTCCATAAGAAAAATCATTTGAAGATTGAGGCTGGGATTGATTCCATGAGTCGCTCGATTCCATCCCAACAGGAATGGGATATGAAGGGTAGGGAAATGGTTGGTTTATGAGTATAACCATAGTTACTACTTCCCAATCCAACAGAGTCTGAAGTTCTAGATAACGAGTCATCTTCTTGACTTGACAAAATCCCTTTGCCTCTTTCTCTGCGAGTATAGTCCTTCCCTATGGCACCAATTCCTGGTCCTGCCCGCCTACTGCCATGGTCATCATCTTGTGTTGCATGCGTGAAGTTTGTCTCACCAGTGAAGGGGCTCATATATCCGGGAGGTGGTGGTCCATAATAGTTTCCATATCCACCACCACTACCTCCAGCTCCACTACCTCCAGCTCCACTATGTCCTTCATCATTCCCACCTCCGGTGGTAGGTGAGTCTCCTGATCTTGTACTAGAGCTATCATTAGTATCAGCACGATGTTGTGGTTGTGTAGGATTGGAAAAATGTGGAATTCCAGTGTTGCTTGGTCTTGGGTGCAAAAGTTCTTCGAAAGAGTCAGCGCTGCTAGATCCCACCTCTTCCTCTAATACTCTTTCTACATTTATCCCTTCATTACGTGCTTCTTCAGCAACTCTGGGAGCTGGGTTGCCTTCATCATCATCTAAATGAAGAGGTCTAATCCATTGAAAAAATTGGTTACCCTCCGTATCATCATCTTCACCAACAATATCAAACACATCTAGTGGGTCACCACGGTCGACATGATCGATTTCTGCTTCCTTATCTCGAATTTGAAGCTTCATGTTGTAGTAGCAATAAACTAATTTTTCCAAGCTACTATGAGCCAACTTATTTCTTTGCTTTGTGTGGATGAGTGCAAATGTGCTCCAATTTCTTTCACAAGCAGATGAGGAAGCTGTTTGTGATAATACTTTTATTGCTAACTTTCTCACAGTTGGTGCATCGGTCCCATACATGATCCACCATTCAGCTACAATGAAAAATAATGTTGATAAGCCTAATAACTCCAACAAATTCTATTATAAACTTATAGTGAAATATGTTTATACTCACTAGGAGACATATTTGTTCGAGCAGCAACTGATGTTGGTTCTCCAAATGTTCTTCTTGCATCTTTAAACCATGTTAGCTGAATACAATAAATTGTGTTAGTTTAATCCAACAAAGTAATTATTATAATTTAAGTAATTGTGTACCTCATTTCCAAATTGGCCAACTGCTGGTGATGCAGGGTCTAATTTAGAGTATACATTATGTACAGCACGTATAAGGTTACCATCATCTCCAACACCGGGTCTGTATATTGGTATCGGGGATTCAAATAATATGCTGTTCAAAGAAACACATACTCTAATAAGATAAATAATACTTATGCAACTAAAGAAATGAATTGCAAATTATGACATAATTTATACCTGCTGCATGCAAATCGTGGTATAATGTTTTATACCATCGGTCTTCAATTATTTTTACGACCCACCTTGCACCATGTTTTCTTTCCAATTCATCATTCACTACACGCATCAACTCATATACTGTCCCCATAGTAGGATACACTTCTGTGTCAACGATCCGTAAAACTTTGTAAAAGAGGTTCAAACACTTGACACACATGTTCTGTTTGACTCCAAAAAGCATGATCAAGCACTATACTTTCCACCATACGACCTGTATTTGAGCGGCTGAAATTGTGGTTGGCCCAATCGTCACTAGTGAATAGTTGCTTCAACCCTGATTTCTTCTTGAGTAGGCTGTTTAATGCAATATAGTTGGTGGCGAATCGAGTGGTAGCTGGCTGGACGAATAATTTCTCCTCTGCAAAATTCACGCATCTTTGCCAACAACCAACCGTGATTGTAAATATAATTTGTGATCGTTCTAGCTCTTTTGACCACAGTAGCAACATTCTCTCTCTTCCCCATTGCCTCAAACATAAGATCAATACAATGTGCTGCACATGATGTCCAAAACACATTATGATGCTTCATTAACTTTTTTCCAGCTTTGACAAATGCAGAACCGTTGTCGGTCACGACTTGGACAATATTATGCTCTCCCACCTCCATGATTACATCCCTCAATAATTTGTAAATATACTTGTAATTCTTTATATGGTCTGAAGTATCAACAGACTTCAAAAAAATTGTCTTTCCCTTGGAGTATACCATGAAGTTGATGATAGATAATCTGGTCGGGCCGGTCCATCCGTCACACATGATTGTGCAACCATTAGTTTCCCACTTTGACATCAACTTGTTAACATATTCGCCAATGTCTTTATACTCCATATCCAAATATTTGTTTCTTATCTCATAGGGAGTGGGAGGTTGTACTCCAACACCGGCCTGTTGACATCCCACTACCATATTTTTGAAATGATGTGATGATGCCTTCGCAGCAGGGACATTTTCATAGATAAAGAACTTGCTAATTAGACGTCTCATTCCCTCCTTCACATTACCTCCCTTGAAATAACTCCAAACACTCTTTTGACGTGCGTTGGATGACTTATATAAACTTGGGGCTATTGGTGGTGTTGGTTGTGATTCTCTAAGACTGCCTCCCCGTCTCATTTGTGCACCACCACTTGTCCCGGAACCTTGTCCCCTATTAGGAATTTTATGAAGGTGTTCTCTTTCCCATGCTGACTGTTTGGAGGCCCGTAATGCTTGTTTCAAACTGCGTCGTTCTTCAGGTCCCATGTCATCATCACATTCATCCTCATCGTCATCATCATCACTGTCAACCGCTTGGCCAATGACTTCTCCTCGTAGCCCAGCTCGAATATTTTCCATTCCTTGTGTTATCTTTTCCTTCTGCTGTTTTTTATTTTTTAATAATGTGCTGATGAATGCCTTCACTTCTGGGGGGACATTATCGCATCGTTGGACATTTTTTGCTGGATCTAATCCACTAAGATGGTACTTAAGTCGTGTCACTCCACCACTCTTCATTACCCAACCACAATATTTGCAAATTGTGCCATGTTTGTTTCCGTCTATTGGGTCTCCATGTTCCCAAGCTGGATCACGTTTAGTAGCTCCACTAGACATCTTAAACGTACCTACATTTAATTTGATAAAACCTAATATTAATGAATAATAATCCAATTTGATAAAAAAATAATCACTGATGAATAATAATCCAATTTGATAATAATCCAATTTAATGAATAATCAAATTTGATAATAATAAAAAACCTAATATTAATGAATAATAATCCAAATTGATAAAAAAATAATCCTAATATAAAACATAGTGATGAATAATAATCCAATTTGATAATAATAAAAAACCTAATATTAATGAATAATAATCCAATTTAATGAATAGTCCAATTTAATGAATAATCCAATTTGAGAATAATCCAATTTGAGAATAATAAAAAACCTAATATTAATGAATAATAATCCAAATTGATAAAAAAAATTAATCCTAATATAAAACATAGTGATGAATAATAATCCAATTTGATAATAATCCAATTTAATAATAATCCAATTTAATGAATAGTCCAATTTAATGAATAATCCAATTTGAGAATAATCCAATTTGAGAATAATAAAAAACCTAATATTAATGAATAATAATCCAAATTGATAAAAAATTAATCCTAATATAAAACATAGTGATGAATAATAATCCAATTTGATAATAATCCAATTTAATAATAATCCAATTTAATGAATAGTCCAATTTAATGAATAATCCAATTTGAGAATAATAAAAAACCTAATATTAATGAATAATAATCCAAATTGATAAAAAATTAATCCTAATATAAAACATAGTGATGAATAATAATCCAATTTGATAATAATCCAATTTAATAATAATCCAATTTAATGAATAGTCCAATTTGATAATAAGCCAATTTAATGAATAATAATCCAATTTAACAATAATCCAATTTATTTGTTGTTGTATAAATTACAATAATATAAATATAAGTTTGTAAACTTACCTTAAATATGGAACCCTTTGTGTTCAAGCTTTGGAATAGATCTGGAATGGCTTTGAAAATGGTAAGGGAAATAAAATAATAAATAACATTAAACATATTAAAATAATCCTAGGGAATAATTATACAACATTACTTAATTACTTAAAAAAAATTAACATGTAATTGTTAACATTACTTAATTACCTACAAAAATTAACATGCAAGTATTAATTACTTAAAAAAATTAACATACGAGTCCATACAAATTTATTTGTTGTTGTATAAATTACAATAATAATATAAATATAAGTTTGTAAACTTACCTTAAATATGGAACCCTTTGTGTTCAAGCTTTGGAATGGATCTGGAATGACTTTGAAAATGGTAAGGGAAGAAGAAGAAACGAAATTGCTCTGAGGGAATGCCTCTGATACTCCAACTCTCATAAGGTTTTGCACATGCTCTGAGGGAATATAAGTATATAACGGAGAGTGGAACATGGT